TCAACCAGCATGGAAAAAATGGGAATCTAACCTTACAGTATATACTTCAAAAGGGAGAAAAATTGATCATTTTCTTCTAAAAAAAAAAAAAAAACCTCGACAGCCACAAAATATAGTTCTTGGCTTAATCCTATTTGAATGGAATTTAATCGCAGTTTTTTCAATAGCTCTACTGGTCAGAGACCAGAAGAGCATATGCGATAGTAATACGTCCGTTGTCTGTCCGTCTAGCTGTCCGTCTGTTTTCAAAATGCTACTCCTCCTACAATTTTGGTCTGATTTCAATATAACTTGGCACACAAGTAGACTTCACTAAGATAGATGTTTTCGATTTCGATGAGCAGTGTTGCCATGGTTACTAAAAATAGAAATTTCTGTGAAATACATTTAAAATACTACTCCTCCTACAGTTGGTCTTATTTCAACTTGACACACAAGTAGACTACACTAAGATATATAATTAATACCCATTCTCTGTAACCACTTAAACTTTTGTGGCACGCATAGTCACAGATTTTTTTCAAATTTGGCTGGAAAGTACCACCTCATAAACTTCTTCAAAAAATATAGTTAGATCATATGAATGTTGAGTAGTTACCATGGAAACAGTGTCTAAAGTTGATTTTTTTGTGAAAAAATGCAATATTTGGGAAAGTTTTTTAAAGAAATGCGGCTACTTCAATTCATGTTACTCACAGAAATAAGAAATATAACATCTAACTTTAAAAGGCATGTTAAAACCTTATTGGTATTCTCTCTATAAATATGAGAATTCTTTGATTAAAATAGCAGACAATAACTTTGAAATTGAATTATCTCCCTTTGATAATTGTGAGCTCTTCAGTGAGAAAGATAAAAAAAATCATAATACAAAAATGACTGGAAGTTGTTTACATATTGTCAGCATACAGCTCTGTATATCCAGGAATTCAAGTAAAATCAACTGTTTTTCTTGTTTATTTAATTTGCATACAAATTTTAGCCTCTGTTTATATCATACATGCAAAAGAATAATTTTGATATGTGAAAAATGGTGAAATGTACTACATAGTTCAGGAAATCAGCTCTGTACATAAGCATTAGTCTCAAGGTCTAAGGAGTTTCAAAACGGGATTCAAGATAAACTTGAAATATCAGAATTACTTGTATTATGAATTTGTTTTTTTTTTAAGAATTACTGTGTCTTACGATCAGTCAGAGTGATATACTGGAGGACTGCAATGAATACGGCGTTAGAAAGCAAATGAATTTTTAAACTGAATGTTATTAAACTATAGAGACTAATAATTTTTAAAAAACTGAATATGTCCTTGGCTGAAAGGAAAAACAAATTATACTGAATAATAGCTACAATTCCCATCCACAGGTCGTTATTTCAAATTCAGCAATATTTTTTGAAACCCTCGGTATAATACATATTATATATGGGTTAGAAAATTGTTACCTATACAAGCCCCCCCCCCCCCTTCCTAAATGAAAAAGAGTTTGGGCATTTTATATATTGTTATTATTTTTTTTCTTTGCTCTTAAGACTTTTTTCTGTGAAGAAGAAAATTAATAATTTTCCCTAAAAAAAAACATCTTGGAAATAAATGATATGTCCTGCCATGAAAATAAACCTAACTTAATCACACCCCCCCCCCCTTCTGGATCAAAGGTCGTCCCCTAACGCATAGTAAACGCAGTCATATTATGTAGTTTTTAAACAGGATAAACAAGTATAAAATGTTTTGTTAACCAGTCAAAAATATACTTTTGATGATTGGGGTAGTTGCATAGAAATACAAATTGTCTGTGAATCAAATTTAAAGTTGACGGTTTATCATTTCTCTGGACTAAGATACATTATGATTTAAACTTATAGCAGTACAATATTAAATCTGTCTAGCAGTATTTTATTAATAATGAAAATAATTTTCTGACCCCCCCCCCCCCAAAAAAAAAACCCAATTAATTAAAGCACAATAGCAGATTATTCGAACAGGTCCAGCAGATGTTTACAACAGATTATTATTGATTAAACTTTGGGAATATCAGATCTTTTGCAGGCATATTTGTGTTGAAATATTTACCATCAACATCGCTAAAATCTCATTTTTTTAAGAATGATATTTCAAAGTAAATTAGATTTTTCCGTCAACTTCTCTGAAAAAAAGTCAATGGAAAACACATTTTGACTGTCACTTGAAAAGTTCGGATTGTTAAATATGGTTTAAAAAATGTACATTTAGGAGCAAGGGATTAGTTTACTAAAACAGCAGAAGAGTGTCTTTACATGCTTGTAGCGCAATTCTCTACATACAAGAAGTCTTGCACTCAATATGGAAAGTGTATAGTCGTCCAATATTCTTAAATGCCTACCTTTATATCAATAAAACCTGAAAACTGTACTTATATAAGCATTTTCACATTATGCATCAAGCTAAAGGGAGAATGTAAAACCAGTTTTCAATGAAATACATTCAATATACGGGATCGAGGTCAGGATACAACATTTACAATACCAGTATTCCGAATAACCGAGTATAAATGCATTATTAACAAGCTAATTCAAAGAATATGTGTCCCCTGTTTTAAGGAGATAAGAATTTCTGTAGATTAAGGGGGGGGGGGGGGGGGTGTCGGAGGGTGGTTGGGTAGGGGATGGGACACTTAAAGTGGGGCGGGCGGGACCATAGAGCGTTATGAACAAAAAAATAAGCTAACCTAAACGCTTTTTGAGATATCACTCGGAAATGAGAGGTTTTCATACAAACAATTTCTTTTTCTACCTTTACCTTTTGACATAGAAATAAATAGGGGTCATTTTAAGCCAAAGCAAGTTGTGGTATAAACTCAAATTAAAAAAAGATCTTAGGCTTCTTAAGATATCCCATGATAATAAAATGTTAAAACAGACAGAGGGGGGGGGGGTATTTTTATAGACCAAAAAAAAACGAAAATAAATGCCTATTTTCTCCCAATTTCAAAGTGATTGACAGCTAAAACTGTGTATTTTATTAATATATATACTAGTATGTTTTACTTATTTGTGTAGAACATGAGAAAAAATTTGCGTAACATTTAATTACATCCAAGATTTTTCAAAATATGGTGATGCTTGAAAGTCCGATTTCAATGGAAAATATCATCAACTCCTCCCCCCCCCCCCCCCTTATTTCAAGAGTTGGAATAAGGGATAATGTACTATTTAGCACTGGTATTAAAATAATGAATCAAATACCGTTTAACTGTTTTTTATATTTAATAAAGATTTTATGGCTAAATTGCCATTAATATTGAATAAAATGGTAGCAAAATGTAGGCGGGAATTGAGAGTTAGCGTACATAGTTCTTTATATACCACTGTGACCTTGAACTTTGACCTTCTGTCCATATGGGCACACATTCATATGATGCTAGTTATTGTTGACCAGAACTGTAACTTTGTTTCTTCATTTGTTGTTTAAAACACAAATATTAGTTATGACACAGAAAAAATGTTGTTTAGTTTTCTTAAATATCTATCAAAATCGGTCATTTTGACCTTGACCTTTGACCCTTAGTCATGAAAATTGATTTTTTAGCTTTGTTTTTGCTATTGTTTACCATATATCTAAATTTGATTTAATCCATTTTAAAATACTCAGGCAATTACATGGATCCTGATTGTATCTACGTATTGTACTTTTCTAGGATTTTGAAAAAAAGCATAAGTTTGTAACCATGGTAACAAGAAAACTAAATACGAATACCAAGTAGTTCTTTGTAGTGTATATTAGAACTATATGTGGACTTTCAAACCAATGTATTCATTTTTTCCAAACTATCCGCAAAAATTTATACCAGCCTTTTCAAAAGACCCTAAAATCTACAATTTTCCACAAGAAAAATCCTACCTATAAATGAGGGATATTTTCTCTATGAGGAAAAAGTTGCTGAAATACTAAAAATTTTCTAAAGCACTGTAAAATGATGTATTTTGGCGAAAAGGTAAAGTCATGTTGATAGCTTGTTCCATTAAAGACTTTTAATAAGTCAAAAATGGTCATTTTTCATCAAAATTTAGCGATTTTTAGGCCATGAAAAATGTATGTTGGTTGCCATGGTAACCATGGACCATAGCAACCATTTTATTATGAATTTTAGGTACATACATCAATATAGGAATGTATGCCAAGTTTCATAAAAATCCAAGACCATGCGTGCCACACTCCCTATATAAGAGTTTAAATGCTTACAGAGAATGGCTATTAATACTATACATTGGTTATTGATTTCTATGAACAGTGTTGCCGTGGTTACTAAAAATAGAAATTTCTGTGAAATACTTTTAAAATGCTACTCCTCCTACAGTTTTGGTCTGATTTCAATATAACTTGGCACATACATGTAAGTATAGACTACACTAAGACACATGATAAATCTTTGTATCGGTTTTTGATTTCGATGAATGATGATGCCATGGTTACTAAAAATAGAAATTTCTGTGAAATACTTTCAGTAGACTACACAGAGATATATAATTATCAGTTTCGTGTTTTTGATTTTGATGATTGATGTTGCCATGGTAACTAAAATTGAAGATTTTGTAAAGTTTTATTAAAAGCTACTCCTACAGTTGTAGTCTTATTGAAATATTGCGACATAAAGAGATTTAATCAAAGATCATTAATCTATTCATTGCTTTTGTAAAGTTTTAAGTCCCAACTGCTACTTTTCTCTTCCTTTATTATATTAAGTACAAACCAGTACAGCTACAGTCTCGACAGAGACTTCTGGTTGGATATAGTTTAATTTACATTGTAGAATCCCGATTTAATGTTAGAACTTAAAAATGATGTAGAATTTTAGAAATAAAGGTCCATACCAAAATCTGCACAAAAGCTCAGGGTCCCACTTTGATTTACTTTTTTTTTTAGTTCAAGGATCCCTAAAATAAAATGTGCAACTCATCACACAGAACAAAATTCAGAATAAACATTGACTAGTCGAAATCAAAAACAAGAACACTAGAAAAATTGTATATTTACATTTTTTTATTTTCAAATTGCTCGAGCTATGTGTTAAAGTAGGCCATAGCGCTCAAAACTCAATATTAGCCGATCCTCAACATCCACACACTATACATTCAGCTCAGTTAGTATAACAGAAGCATGATAAAAAATAGCATATCATAATCTGTATGTCCTATGGCCACTTTGAGTGCTAAACAGGAAAAGAAACCCACCCATATAAAATGTGAAGAACCTGAAAAGTCTTATAACACAAAATATTCCTTTGTTCCATAGCTGCTATAATCACACATCATTCTAACAGATTTTGTCTCATCCTGTAGAAAATGCTGAGTCTGCAGTACTAGTGCTAATATGATTCCATTTTTTGATAATGAGCTGGATGACAAATCAGGCTGCAAAACTAGAACACACTTTGTCACTTTGAAGTTTCTGTTCTACATCACATACCAACAAGTAAACATTATACTGTTAGTCCAATTCATCTCCATAAGCATTGGTTTTTCTACCTGAAAGGACAGAAAATACATAAAACCATCTTTACTTATCTCTACTAGCCTTCTTCACCTAGATATTATACATAGTTAATTCTGCTCTCCCAAACAACAGTTCCATGAAATGATTTATATACAGTACTGTATTTATAGTAAAAGTCTAATACATTTGATACATCGACAATGGTCCAATTTGGTAAAACAAGAAGTGTGTGAGCTAATGCTCACTACTAATACCTTCCCTCTGATGTGAATATATTAAGTTAATATATAGATGCAGCAATAAATAGGAAGTTGAATTCAAATTCATATAAAAATGAATGCAATAATATGTCATGCCAAAACGAAGAGTAAGCTAAAATTTAATTTAGCATCTGTCACAAGAAATTGCTGAGAAAACTGCGATAAAATTTGGCATGGACAGATACAAGGATAAACAGAACACTGGCATTGGATTCAAACAAAAATAAATCCCACCATATTGCATGCCTAAACAAAGAGTGCTAAAATTTCAATTACCGTATACTATATCTGTGAAGGGTAGTTACTGAGAAAACTGTTATGAAAATTTGTTACATACAGACACACACACAGAGAGACAAGGATAAAACAGTTTATTATACTTCTGTTAAAATGTTTCCTATATAAAGTTCAGAAGGTAAAATAGCTATCTTTTATAGTTCATGCATAGCAAAGCTATACCCCGGGGTATAGTTTTTGCTATCCACCCTCGGAAAATTTTCGTGCAATTTTTGTCTCCAGTTTTGATTTCCAGCGATAAATCTATTGACTGATGATGTCATAATGACTCAGTAGCATTGTGACGTCATCAGGATTTCAGATTATTCTTGCAGTATTATCTTACTCCAAAAAAATTCAAACCTCAGAAATTATTATATACATCAGTATAATAAAACGCTTATCCACTGTTTGTGAGTGGGATAGCTCTTTTATTAAACCCTTGACAGGGACTATTCCCCTCGGGCAAGCCCTCGGGAATAGTTCCCTGTCGCGGGTTTGATAAAAGAGCTATCCCACTCACAAACAGTGGATAAGTGTATAATATCCCCTCTCATTTTGAACAGGGGTAAAACAAAATATGGTAATACAATACAATAAATACATGTACATGTACTTCAATTTTCTTCATGAAATTTTTGACTGATGATAAAAGATATACCTCGTTTTTTAGCATAAAAATTTTCAAATCCATCATCTGGTTCTGCAAGAAAAAAAATCAGTTGTTTATGACCAAATTATATATACATTGTACTGCATCTAGTAAGAATACTTAAGATTATATGAGATTTGTTTTTTGTTAAACTTTAGAAGGTCTATATAAAAGCTACTCAAGGCATTTTCATTTAAAACTGCATTAAAATTGACCAAATTAGACATTAAGATTACTGAAAAGAACATCTGAATATTGCAAGATTTTGAAATACACACCTAACATATAAGATTTCAATTTGATAGCAGTACAAATTTCCATCAAACTTTGGGTATACTTTTTTGGACCAGTTTTTGAGGAAACTAACTAATTAAAATAAGTTATTGATAGGAGTATGTACTGCAGAAAAGAAGAATTTTTCTCTTCCTTATATGTGTGTAATTCTATCTTGATGGTGGTAGGGGAGTCACCACCCTTGAAATCCCTTTTCAAAAATTGCTGGATCCAACCCTGGTAAAGATTGTTAGTTTTTTGTTTCTATTATTTGGACTATAAATTTCCCGATTTTCAGACTGATGTACCTTGTGTTTCCTCTGACTTCTGGAATTGATTTTGAGGTTTAAAGAGTTGACCATCTTTTCCATTCTTTATCTCTGTGTTATAAGCCTTCTGAGCACTCTGGTAATTATATAGTGGTACTGAGGAAGAAGAATGCTCCCTACACCAAAATCAGAAAAAATAAAATAGTCAAGAAATTATTTCCAAGTTTTACTAAATCCACATCATTTATCTTCTTTATATGTTTAATGAACATCTAAACAGGTCGGACAAGTACAGAGAAAAGAAATGCTTACTCTTCATCCATTGCGATTAGTTTTCCTAGATTGTGATCTGTGGTTATGTTGTGTTTATGCAAGACTTCTTTAATTATCTTCCGCCTAGGTGTCAAACCATAACCAAGACATAATCCAAAGACAATGGCATCTATAATTCCAAAATGAAAATCAATAATTGATACTAGATATACAAAACTTAAAAACAAACAAAATTTGCAAGGATCACTTCAGTAAATTTTATCCAATAGTGAGGCCCACAATGCTAACCTGAATAACAATGGTTCTACTGTTCAGATTTGTTTTCCTTGTATATATTCCTATGTAAAACTTATTCCTATTGTAGCCTGTGGAATATGGATGATTTAAACAAAGTTTCTTCCTGTTCCAGTGTTAAGTTTTGATTTCCCTATGTGGTCCCATCCCACCCTCGAAGTCATTTGTACAAATTTGAATCTAAACTACCTGAGGATGCTACGTACCATATAGATATAACTGAGCATGGCTTTGCTGTTCAAACATTTTTAAACTTTTTCCCATAAAAAAAATTTTGTTTACCTATTAAGGACACAAAATTGAACAAACTTGAATATTAAACTCAGGAACCCTTCATATAAACTCATCTTTAGCCTAGTGTATTTTTGGAAAGAAGATCGGTTTACAGGACCCTACCACTTTTTACTATTTCTGAATTATCTTTCCTTGGGAGAGGGTGTGGCTCCTTATTTGAACATATTTCAATCCCCTATAGCCAGATATACACTGTGCCAAGTTTGGTTGAAATTGGCTCTGTGTCCTGTACATCAAAGTTTTATTTTCTCAAAAACTAAGCACATATGCTAAAATTTCTCTACTTACACATGTGAGAACCAAAATTCAGAGACTTGAGAAGTTTTGGAATCTTTGCTGCTGTGCGTGGAATTCCTAAAACAAATAGTTAATCACACACAGTTCATTCAAGTCATATTTCTCTTTCAAACAAGTGTCAGTGTACATAATGTATGAATAACAGCCTGTATGTAGTAAAATTACAGGCAATATGCTAACTTAAAGGTTTCATTCATATTAAATCTGTAGGCTTAAAGAAAATTGGAACACTTTTTAAGGTTTGGAATCAAAGCTTTATTAACTGTGTTCTTTTTGTCAATTCAGTTGTCTAATGTTGCATAATCAAATTTTAATTTTCTGAAACAATGTACAAAAATATTTACATGTATACTTACCAGCGATTTGAAGGTAACCAAACAAAACACATGGTATGGCTGAAAAGAAAGCACAAAAATTGATTTTATTTAATCTACTGTATAAATTTGAAGAAAATAATTATTTGTGATTGTTACACCTCCGATTGCCCAAGGTTGTTTACCTCTGATCCTCTGGATACCCATGCTTGTTAACCTCTGATTGCACAGGGCTGTGATAGTTGTTTCCTTTCTTTCATTCCGTTTTTACCTCTGATCGCCCATGGTTGTTTACCTCTGATTGCCCATGTCTACTCACCTCTGATTGACCATGTCCACTTACCTCTGATTGCCAATGTCCACTCACCTCTGATTGCCCATGTCCACTCACCTCTGATTGCCCATGGTTGTATACTCCAGATACCCATGCCTATTCACCTCTGATTGCCCAAGTCCACTCACCTCTGACTGTCCTTGGTTGTATACTCCAGATACCCTTGCCTATTCACCTCTGATTGCCCATGTCCACTAACCTCTGACTGTCCATGGTTGTTTACTCCAGATACCCATGCTTATTTACCTCTGATTGCCCATGTCCACTCACCTCTGACTGTCCATGGTTGTTTACTCCAGATACCCATGCCTATTTACCTCTGATTGCCCATGTCCACTCACCTCTGATATCCCATGGGTTTTTACTCCAGATATCCATGCTTATTTACCTCTGATTGCCCAAGCTTGCTGGACAGAAGATTTGATATCCTTCATTGCCTCTGTTTCTTGTGGTGTAATGTCCTTTTTCAAAACATATATGTTTTGCATGAGTTCCTAGGGTAAAAAAGTCATGGAATTAATATGGATAAAAAAAAGCTCTGTTTACCAAATTGTCTGGCTGCTTATGATCAAACCGCCTGAAAACCATGATATCACTCCTTTAATTTCTCACCAAAAAAATTATAAATCATCAAATCTGGATTCCTTAAAACCCCTTGCAGGACTTCAACTGCCAGTTAAGGTCTGATTTCACTCAAAATGCACAGTGTATTCAAAAATTTTGACAGCTAGATAAGTTGACCAGAATTGAACCAACAACTGAACTCAGGTGCTATAATAACTGGGCTATTTTTCCATAAGCACACTAATGTACATAGCTGTTGTTTGCCACAGCTGCACGAAAATAATAAAATTATTGGCTCTTTTGAACAATGAACAAAATGCTTATAATTATTAATTATCACACTTTCAGAGATGTGCGTTTCAAAGAACTGAAATAGAAAGGATCGATCAACATTTGTCCTTGAATCCCTTCCTGTAACGCTTTTCATGCAATGAGACCTTGCGGCCCCAAAAAGTTGGTAAAACAGTGTCTTAGGCCTCCCCCAGTTGACCCGATTGATCTCATCTATTACCGGCCCAGGTCTTTTAGAGACAATTTAACCTTGGACACTGTGATGTACAGGTTTATCACATATTGATGTACATTAATTATAGCAAGCGCAGCGAGCTCAATAGACTAACGTGTAAGAACAGAGGAAATTCGGATTGAATTCTGTACATACGTCAGCCAAATTTCTCTGTGAAACATTCCAAGAATTCCTGCACCACCCAATGTCCTTTGTGCAAATAAATAAATAAATAATGTAGAGCATAAAAGGCTAGATCAGTTTGTAGAAATCTTTCAAAGAAACAAAAAATAACTCTACAATGTTTTTCAACCAAAATTGCACTAGGTCTATAGTTTCAAACTGACACTAGGCTGTCTCCGTAAGCTCCAACGAGCTCCGTGACGTCATGTGATGTCACAGCTAGTCGAGATGTCTCGTGCGGCTTGATGTTTGAAGTGGCTGATCAATATTTTTAGAGTGTTTTTGATGGTACAATGTACTAGCTGTGCTCGCCCCAACGGTCACACCGTAAAACATGTTAAACGCGACCTATGCAACACTGAATTCAAAAAGATAAAACTTTGATAAAAATAATTTTTATGACAGTATTTTTTAAAGTTATGTAACTAAATAGCCAGTTGCATCCAGAAATTAAATTTTAAAAAAAAGTGATAAGGGGACGACCATTTGATTCTGAGGGGGGGGGGGCCTGGCAAATTTTTTTGAGACGGATTATTTATTTTCATGCCTGTCAAGAACAGATTATTTATTTTCAAGATTATCGAGGACAGATTATTTATTTTCTTCTTTGTCTTAGGGTACCTTGATCGATTGATTCTAAAAGACTTATCATTTATATACCATAGGCGGATTCAGGATGGGGGGTGTGTATAACTTCGTTCAAGCAAGAGGTTTGGGGCCGGGTTAAGGCCCCCAGTGGGTTCTGGGCGAAGCACTGGTGGAGGCCAAGGGAGGGAAATTCCCTAGAAGCTCTTGGGTTTTCGGGTATTTTAAGAGTAAAACCAGGACAATTATAGTGGTATTGGTTATTATATAGCAAAGTATGACATTATTAATATTGGTCATATCATACTTTGAATGAAGGGGGTCCAGGGGGCGAAGCCCCCTGAAGCTCATGGGTTTTTGTGTATTTCAAGAGTAAAAGCAGGCACAATTATGTAGGAATTGGTTAGTTATGTTCCAAAGTATGACATAATTAATACTAGTCATATCATACTTTGAATGAAGGGGGCGGAGGGGGCGAAGCCCCCTGAAGCTCTTGGGTTTTTGTGTATTTTAAGAGTAAAACTAGGCATAAAAATATTGGTATTGTACTTAAAGCATGGCAATATTAATATAATTCATATCATACTTTGAAATTTTAGGGGAGGGTCATACACATGTATGCCTTCCTTAAATCCGCCACTGTATACTTTGTATTAATTTATCGGGAAGTATAATTCTTTGAAAAGAAAATCTATCTTTTGTGGTGTTTAAGAATTGGCTTGTTTTTAAAGTGATTCATCACATCTACTGAGTGCTCATTGTCATGTTGATCAACTGACTACAAGTATCCAGTCTGGTAATCTGATTTTAAATATTATTTGGTTCTAAAATGGCGAGCGAAGCGAGCCCAAAAAAAATGCTGAATTGAAGATTCTGAGGTTAAATTACACGGAAATAAAAAGGTATTTTCACAATATTTAAATATCATAAGTCAAGGTCAGATTATTTATTTTCTTTGCAGAGGAGGACAGATTATTTATTTTCAACATTTTCAGGGACAGATTATTTATTTCCAAAATCTGCCAGGCCCCCCCCTCAGAATCAAATGGTCGTCCCCTAATCAACCAAGTTTGTGCTGGAAATTGGAATGCAGAATTTTTATTTACCTGCACCTTTATTTTTACAAAAAAATGATTTACATCTGACACTGTATTGATCTTAAGATGTAGAAAGATGCTATATCTAGAAAAGATCCAATGTGGTCACCATAGGCTGTCGATATTACACAATCCGAAATTCCTCTAATCGTAATGACCTATTCGATTCACGTTGCTTACGTTTTTTTAAATCTGGTAAATAGATCTAGAATATTAAAGCATGTATTAAACCAGACCTGTTTTCTCCGGTAGAAATCTTTATCATAATCCATTATTCTGATTCAACAGTAAAACTGCTAAAATCTTGCGTAACTTTGTTTTCTGTCTTCTTTCTCTTGCTATCGCAATGATAGTATTTTCCTATTCTGCGCCGCGAGCAATGCGCAATACGTTCAGAGCACTTGACGCTAAATGGGTTATCTTTCTTTCCTTGTCAGTACTTCGGATCATATCTACCATCCCCCCATTCAAAAAAAAAAAAAATAAATACATAAATGAAAAATTGTAAGAGACGCAAAATGAAAATGACATTAACATACATAAAAAAAAAATAGCATACCCAATTGTACTATTGATAAAATATACTCCAACTTATTCTGTGAAAAACTCCACTTGAAATTTTGTAAATCAGTACTAGGTGTGCATAAAACTGCAACTAATTTTGCTGTATTGTCTGATTTAGGTAGATTTCCACTGCACTTTGACATTGTAAGATCAATGATAAGGTACTGGTATAGGCTTGAAAATCTAGGCCAGTCTTTCCCAATTTTAAAAGATGCATATTGTGAATCCAAATCATTGTTTGAGAAAAAACTCCCTTCTTGGTACAGCTCCATTAATTTTCTTATTACCAATATCGATGGTATTCGTGATTTAACTTCAGTCAAAATGCACAAATTCAAACGTGAACTTAAAGATTGTTTATTTAGATATTATATACAAGAGTGGAATTCACAACTTAAATCACACTCTGATAAAAAGCTGAGATGCTATAGCACTTTTAAACGAAATTTTGGTCAAGAAAAGTATCTTAATTTAATTAAGAATTTTGAGCAGAGGAGAAGTTTTACTCGTTTTCACATATCAGCTCACAGACTTAATATTGAAAGGGGTCGATATATAGGCATTCCTAGAGAAGAAAGACACTGCAATAGATGCAATGACAAAACAGTTGATGATGAGAAACATTTTCTCCTTTCATGTAATCACATTAAGGATGAAAGAAAAGTCTTGTATGAATTAATAAACAAATCCTGTAAGAATTTCCACAACTTGGACAGTGATAATAAGTTAAATTGGCTCATGACTAATGAGGATGTGCAAATACTGATTCAAGTCAGTAAAATGATTATGAGAGCTGAAGTATGAAAAGTATACTCACCGTCAATAGAAACGCAACACCCAAATTTAAGGGGTGAAAATTATATAACTTATATATAGATTTAACTAAGTACCAAAAAAGTTAGGAAATCTTTTACTTTGCCAAATCAGTTATTTAACGGTTGAATGATTTTCATTTCATTACCGGAAGTTGATTTTTTAGCTCCCTGAACAGAAATCAAAAATTGGCATTTTTAATAAAATTATTGACAATATTTTGGGTTTTCGAGGTTTTGTACCTGTTAATTATAAGTCTTGTACCCAAAGTCCGGAAAAAATATCCTTCTTTCTCTTCCGAATGTGATGCCTGTATTTCCTCAAATTAACTGAAAGCACGCATTTTCATTGCTAATGTTGAAAATTTTCAAAATAAAGAAAAGGGAGAGCTACAGATGCAAATATACACTACATAACGACTTTTCGGGCTCATGTGTTTCAAAAGCATGAATGACAGTTCCTTGACCGGAAGTCCAAGGGTTACTACACTACGCCAATTTAGAGAAAATTCGACCTCAGTATCTGAAAAACAGGCATTTAAAAAAGGACAAGAATATTTATTTCGCTCAGATTAAGACATTGATAAACTTACTGCATGGTAGAAATCGGGCTGCTTATGTTGTACAAGGCTGACTAGCACGTTTTAATTGAATGGTCAGAAGGGGGGATGTTTTAAAAGTTATGTGTTACTTTCTAAGTTCTAAAGATAACATTTTAAGTTTAAATGAAGTATCATTGTTTTGTAAATGTACTTTTTAAATTTATGTATTCATTCTTAATCTTATCTTTAAACCTTATAAAATAACACATAACTCTAAAACATCCCCCCTTCCGACCATTCAATTAAAACGTGCTAGTCAGCCTTGTACAACATAAGCAGCCCGATTTCTACCATGCAGTAAGTTTATCAATGTCTTAATCTGAGCGAAATAAATATTCTTGTCCTTTTTTAAATGCCTGTTTTTCAGATACTGAGGTCGAATTTTCTCTAAATTGGCGTAGTGTAGTAACCCTTGGACTTCCGGTCAAGGAACTGTCATTCATGCTTTTGAAACACATGAGCCCGCAAAAGTCGTTATGTAGTGTATATTTGCATCTGTAGCTCTCCCTTTTCTTTATTTTGAAAATTTCCAACATTAGCAATGAAAATGCGTGCTTTCAGTTAATTTGAGGAAATACAGGCATCACATCCGGAAGAGAAAGAAGGATATTTTTTCCGGACTTTGGGTACAAGACTTATAATTAACAGGTACAAAACCTTGAAAACCCAAAATATTGTCAATAATTTTATTAAAAATGCCAATTTTTGATTTCTGTTCAGGGAGCTAAAAAATCAACTGCCGGTAATGAAATGAAAATCATTCAACCGTTAAATAACTGATTTGGCAAAGTAAAAGATTTCCTAACTTTTTTGGTACTTAGTTAAATCCCGTATGTAATTTTCACCCCTTAAATTTGGGTGTTGCGTTTCTATTGACGGTGAGTATATTAGTAAACCTATGAAAATTTTTTTTTTATTTTTTTTATTTTTATTGTAAATTAAATGTGCCCCCCCCCCAATTACCTTCTAAAATGTACAGAATCAGTCAGAATGGGTGTCTTGAATACTTAGAGTACGGGTTTGCCAGTATAATCGACTGTGCAGAGGCATCGTCCCCTGGTACCCTCTGTATCCAAGTTAACTTTTCTTTACATTAATTGTATGCTACCTTCAAAATCACAGATTTACATTTATACATGATAGTACCATTTGTTTAAATATATACATATATTTGTATGTAAATTATTATTTTTGTATGCATGGTTATGTGTAACAATAAGTGTCTGTTTGTGTATGTGGGTATGCATATATTCAGATTTATAGAATGTTAAATATCTATTGAACTAACTCCAAGGGATTAGTTTGCATCAAGTGCATAATTATATGCTAAGTACTTATCAATTGAAATTACTATTTCTGATAAAACTTAAACAATTTTTTTTTGAATGACCATCTTCAATACTTAGGGTACAGGTTTGCCAGTCTGGCTGTGTAGAGGTATCATCCCCTGGTGCCCTTTGTATTCAAGATGCATTAGTTATATATCAGAGTACTGCCATTACTATAAGAATTTTTTAAAATTACCTTATATCTATCATTTTTATTTAATTGTGTTTTCTTTTTATCATCCTATGGTTTTCTATGCTTTTGATCAAGTGTGGTGATGCACTTCTCA